CCTATGCATTGCTGTGGGGCAAGTATTGTCGGAGCTCCTGCTTTCAGGGTTTTTTTTTTTTTTTTGTACTCATACCCAGGGGTGAAACTGCTTAGTCATGCAGCAGCTCTATGGTGAACCTTTCGATACACAGCCAAACTGTCTCCCAAAGCAACTGCACCATTTTACATTCCTACGAGCTTGCGTGACGATTCCAATTTCCCCACATCCTCAGCCACACTCCTCATTTTCCATTCAAAAAAATGACAGACATCCTGGAGGCGTGAAATTATTATCTCCTAGAGGTTTCGATTTGTATTTCTCAAATGACTAATGATGCTGAACTTTCTTCATGTGTATCTCATTTGGGGACTATGTCTGTTTAAGTCCTTGGCCCATTTTTGATTTGGGTTGTTTGTTTTTCTGTTGTTCAGTTTTAAGAGTTCTTTATATATTCTGCATATTAATACATTATCAGATGTATGACTTGCAAATGTTTTTCTTATTCCACGGCTTGTATTTTCATCGTCTTGATAGTGTCCTTTGCTGCACTCAAGTTTTTAATTTTAATGACAACCAATTTGTCTCCTTTTCTTTGTTTCCTGTGTTTTCGGTGCCATAGGTTAGGAAACCATTGTGAAATCCAAGGGAATGAGGATTTTCCCTTGTGTTTTCTGCGAAGAATTTTAGGTGTAGCTCTTGAGTTTAGGTCTGTATTCATTTTGAGTTAGTTTTTGTAAGTAGGGTAAGGTGAGGAAGGATCCAACTTCATCTGTGCCCATGGAGACCCAGTTTTGCCAGCACCACTTGTCGAAAACACTGTCCTTCCCCACCAAATGGTCCTGGTCGCCTTGTCAAAGAACCAACTGACCATATATGCCAGGCTTTATTTTCAGGTTCTCTGTTCTGTTCCCCCAGCTTATTTATCTTTCTGCCAGCACTGCACTGCTTTGGTTACAGTAGCTTTGAAGTAGGTTTTGGAATCAGGAAGTATGAAGCTTCTAACTCTGTTTCTATCTTTTTTTTTTCAAAATTGTTTTGACTTTTCAGGGTCCCTTGAAATTCTGTGTGAATGTTAGTCTGGATTTTTCTAATTCTGAAAATAAAAGGGTTATTCAGATTTTTATAAGGATTGCCTTGAATCTGTATGTCAGTTTGGGAAGTATTACCATCTTCACAATATTGTCTTCCCATTCCTGAACACAAAACAACTTTCTTTTTCTTCAGATCTTTTTTTAAAATTTAGATCTTTAATTTATTTTAGGGATGTTTTGTAGTTTATTATGTGAAAGACTTTCACCTCCTTGGTTAAATTCACTCCGAAGTATTTTATTCTTTTTGATGCTTTTGTAAATGGAATTGTTTTCTTAATTTCCTTTTCAGGTTGTAGCTGTGTGTGTACAGGAGAACAACTGATGTTTTGCACGTCGAGTTTGTATCCTACAGCTGTGCTGAATTTGGTCATTAACCCTAAGAGCTGTGTGTGAGTGTGTGTGTGTGTGTGTGCTCTTTAGAATTGTTTACCTGTAAGATCATGTCGTCTGCAAACAGAGGTACACACACACACGCCCCCCCCCCAGAGCCATTTGGGTCCCTTTTATTTCTTTTTCTTGCCCAGTTATTCTGGCCAGACCTTCTAGAACTATGCCGACTGGCAGTGGAGAAAGCAGACATCCTTCTTGGTGCCTCATATCTCGAGGAAGAAGCTTTCGGCTTTTCACCACGGAGTGCGCTGTCCACAGGGGTTTCCGTGCACGGTCCATGTCACGCGAGGGAAGCTCACTCCACCCTTAGTACCCTGAGTGTTTCTGTCTGGAAAGGGTGTCAGAGGTCGTCAGAGGCTTCTTCTGCATCAGTTGATATGGTCACGTGCGCTCTTCTCCTTCACCCATTCAAGCCCAATATTTTGTCTATTTTGGCTGGATTTCTTTGTTGTTTGTAATGCAGGGGGAGGGCAAACCCGTCTCTGTTCCTCTGTCTTGGCCGGAGGCAGAAGTTCCTCAAACACAGTATTGTGAACTCTCTCCAGGCTGACACGAATAGATTTAACTTACCTTTTTGATACCCTACGCGTCTCAGTGCATGAATATGTCGTATGTGATTGGGCTATTCCATTGCCGTTTTCTGGGTTTGACTGCACGTTATAAACAACATCGCCCTCTGGGGCAAAGACGCAGAAAAGGAACTTCTGGTGTGGAGGGTGTGTTCATGTACCGATCCAACTGATCACGTCGAGTTGCTTTCCAAAGTGCGTGTACAGTGTTCACCCCCATGTGGACAGTGTGAGAGTGCCGTACCCTCACACTAGTTCCCAGACTTTGTGTGGTCGGACACGGGCATCGCAGCGGGTGTGACAGGTGGGAGAGGGCGGTCGCTAGTATTTTAATTCTCTGTTTTGTTGAGTATTAGTAATGTCGAACATCTCTTTCTGTTCATTTGTCCTGTGTGTTACTGACTTTTGGGCTGTCTGTTCATATCCTTTGCTCACTTTTCTATGGAGTTATTTTCCCCATGATTACTGATTTGTGGGTATTTTAAAATATTATTTTACATGATCTCTTTGTCACTTTTGATCACGAATATTCTTTCAGCCTGTAGCTTGCTTGTAGTTTTACCCATTTGTCTTTTCTTGAACATACATTTTTTTTTTAAAAAAAGTTGATGTGGTCAAATGTATTAAGTTTGTATTTATAGTTTTAATTTTTTATTTAGAAAGTCTCCTTTCCTCTAAGGAGAAATTTCCATCACTGGGAACCATTTGATTTTGTTGTTTTATGCTTAGGGTCTTGAAACTTTTAGAATGTATACTTGGCCAATGTGAGCTAGAGCTCTAATCTTATTTTTTTCCCCAGTTGAAGCCTCAACTGCTCCACCCGCCTGTGCCGACAGTTCGTCCCTGTTCCGCGCCGGCGTCGGTGACAGCCCCTGCGGGCCAGGCTCTGTGCAAGCCCTTTACTGTATATGTCTCCCTCGACTTCTTATCCCGTCCCCACTGAGAGCAAGGGATCACCCCCATTTTTCAGGGGGGAAACTGAGTCTCAGAAAGGTTAAGTAACTTGGCCAAGGTCACATAGTTAGCACGTGGCAGAGGCAGAATCTGAATGCTGAGCAGGTACAGAGTTAGTGATGGGTGGGGATCTGGTAACCCTGGCCTGCTCAGAAGGGACAGCCCCTGGGCCTGGGGGGTCCTTGGGGACGTGAGTAGTTACATCAGGGCTGGTCGACCTTGGTCCCGTCGGCCCTGCGAACTGGCTGATCTGTCCTGTGGTGTGGGGCCTTCCTGTGCATTGTAGGGTGTTTAACAGCATCCCTGGTTCCTGTCCACTCACATCAAGTAGCACTTCCCCACCCCTCCCTCCTTCTTACCCTTGACCTTGACCCCTGGTTATGGTAATAAAAACTGTCCCTAGGCATTGCTACGTGTTCCCCGAGGGCATAAAATTGTTCCTTATGAAGAACTACTAATTCAGATACTTAATAATAATAATTACTAAGTATCAATATCAATGACGAACCATCACTGATGCTAATGACACTGACACTAATTATCAACAGTAATTAGTGGTGATACTTGTCCTTGGGCTCTTGCCTCTTCATAGCTGAAGGACAGAAGGTTCCAGCGTGTCCTCTAAGCCACACCTTCCCAGGGTTCCGCTCTCCCAGCTGCGAGTCCTCCCGCGGACTGTGGTGGGGCGGGGGGTCGGGGGGCGGTGTGCCCTGAGCCCGTGCGGAGCTCCGTGCGGGCACCTGGTTCGCGGGGACGCACATGCGGCGGATGATCCTGCGAGGGCAGGGGGCCTGGGGCCTGGGGCCTGGGGAGACAGGTTCCTGTTTTCGTTTCCGTATACTTTTATTCAACGCCTCGCTGCTGACGAAGGCAGCTGGAAAAACAAAACCTAGCTGATGCAAAACGATTCCTCGATCCAGATGTGGCGGGGGCGGGGCCTCCGTCACGGACGATTCCCGTCAGGTGTCAACACGTCTGGTGGCGCCGGCGCCCCGCCCGGCGGGCTCCGGGGACGCGAACGCCACGGGGACAGCCCACCGGTGGGCGGTAAACAGGTGCTTCCAAACCCCAGGATGCTGGGCGGGGTCCGGGGTCGTTCAGAACACGGTCTTTAGCCTGGCCAGCGGGGCGCTACCTTTCCCAGTCTAAAAAGTGCATTAAAGCGATCAGGTAACACGTGTTAACAATAATTTGAGGGGCTGTGCCAGCCCTCTCGTTTCTGCCTCTGAGAACAGTGGTCCTGCCCCGCTCACCGGGCCGCTCTGCGACCACCTTGCAAGCCCCCTCCCCCTCCCGCTGCCCCGAAGTCCAGAGTCCTCACGTGGGCAGGCTTCCCCTCGCGTCCAGGCTGGCGTCCTGGCCAGGGGAAGGAACGAGGTCCTGACGGCCGGCCACCTTCCCAGCCACCCGGCCAGCCCAGGCAGGTGCTCCCCGGTCACCTCTCTTTTCCTAAACTCGTCCTCCTCTCCAGCCCCCACTGACACCCTCCCCCAACCCCCGCTGCTGTGTCCCCACAGCCCTGAGCCCACCCTCCAGCCCTGGGATGAGGCTGGGACCACCAGCCACACTGGGAGCTCACGGCTCTGAGGGCAGCCCCTGTGTCTGGCTGCTTCTCTGACCCCCCTTCACGGGTAGGGGGACGGTTCGGGGGAGGGGGTGGGAAGGCTCTTTCCAGAATGGGCCAGCAGAATGGTACAGAATGTGGACCTCCTGGGGCAAGAAGTGTCCTGTGGCTGTCACCATCCTGGACGCTTGCTATCAGGACAGGTACACAAATTGACACACAGAGTGGACGGGGGTGGAAGGGGGTGGAAGGGCTCAGCCCCTCCCAGCTGGGGACACGCAGTCCCACTCCAGGGCACAGCTGGGCACGGTGTCCTGCAGTCCTGGTGAATATTCAGCTGGTTCCGTCCCCTTGGTTGGCTCCTGCCTATGCAGTCAGCCCCCAGGGAAGGGGAGGGAAGAGGGCCAGGGCTCCGCCAGGCTGACTGCAGGACCCCGCTGAGCCCCTGCCATGGACTTCAGGGCGTGGGGTGCTTGCGTCCTCTGCTTGCTGAGTCCGCTACCCGTCGTGAGTAGCCAGCTCAGACCCTCCTGCCTGTGGCTGGGCTCCACGTCTGGGAGCCACAGGGCTGGGGTGGGGTTCAGCTGGAGCCCAGTGGGGTCCCCACGGCCCATCCTCGGTGTTGGAGTCTCTCGCCACGAAGCAGGTGGCACCGTGGCTTGGAGAACTTCTGATACCCATGGCCATTCCCTCCGCTCCCCTACCATCCCCTCCCCTCCCCTCCCCTACCATCCCCTCCCCTCCCATCCCCTTCCCTACCATTCCCTCCCTTTCCCTTCCCTACCATCCCCTCCCCTCCCCTCCCCTCCCTTCCCCTCCCCTCCCCTTGCCAGAAGGAGCATCCACACGGCTTGGCCCATCCCGTTAACCCTTTCCTGCAGGCACTGGGCCTTGTGTCCCCAGCGTGTGACCTCATCAGCCAGCTGAGGGAGGACGAGAGTGCGTGTCTGCAAGCAGCAGAGGGGATGAGCAATGCCACCCTGGACGCCACCCTGGGTAGGGGGGCGCAGGAGGCAGGGGATGGCTTCTCGGACCCCGTCATCTCCCCCAGCACCCCCCCCCCCGCCCCAGGATGTGGGACGGAGTGGCCCCCGGGGCTGAACCCTCGCTGCTTCCGCCCGCCCGTCTAGGCTGCCCCTCGACCTGGGACGGGCTGCTGTGCTGGCCGGAGGCGGGCCCTGGCGAGTGGGTGACTCTCCCCTGCCCGGACTTCTTCTCTCACGACAGCACAGAGCCAGGTGAGGGTCCTGTCGGCGGGGGCCGCGGGGCGGGGGCGGGGGTCTGTGGGGGAGGGGGAGTGTTTTCACCTGGTGGTGTGGGAACGCGGCAGAGACATCCCTGGTGTGAGACCTGGATTTGAACAACTTCCTCTCTTTCGGTGTGACCTCGGGCAAGTCGGTTCACCTCCCTGACCCTTAGCTTCCTGACCTGTGACCTCACAGGGGGTCAGGTTTAGTAAGCAGGGAATGGACGTGACCTTCTCTGGATGTTGCTGGAGGGTTGGCTGTGCGGTGCAGTGGGCAGAGCCTGTCTGCTGCACGATGCCACGAGCTGCCTAGTGGGGGGGTGGTGGGGAGGGCCCCCCGCCCCGCTCTGCCTCCCCTCCCTGGCCTGGGTATCAGGGGTGGACAGCTCCTCCAGGAGCACGGCAGCCTCCTTTCTCCCCCATCCCGGCCCTCAGGGCCCTGGGGGCCCACCTCACCTCTCTGCCGCTTGGGGGAGTGACCCTCTCAGGCTAACAGAGGCCAGAGATGATGACCCCAGAGTGTGTCCCAGGCAGGGCCCGGAACCCCGGCCTCTGGAGAGAAGGCCCCCCCGCCCCTGGCCTCTGACGCCTAGAGGGGGCCGTCTGTGCAGCCTGCCAGGGTCACTCCACGGACATGGCTCTCCAGCCCCTCCCGGGGACAGGGGAGGCATCCCTGTGACCAGATCTCTGCTTCCCCACCCCCGCCGGCCTCCCAGGGGCGGTGAGGCGGAACTGTACCACCGCAGGCTGGTCCGAGCCCTTCCCTCCGTATCTCGTGGCCTGCCCCGTGCCCCTGGAGCCGCCGACCGAAGAAGAGGTACGAGGCCACGTGCAGGAAGGCTCACCGTGCATGTTGGGGGCCGGGGGCGGCTGGTCTGCCTGTGTGTAGGGGCTGCCAGTTCCATTACAGCCCACGGGTTGGAGTGTCCATTACAGCAGATGCCCAGAAGGTGGCAGTGTCTGGAAGGGGAGGGGGCTTGTGCTAGGAGGGCCGGAGGGTCGTGCTGGCCACCATCTCCCTGGCATGTGGCATCTGTGCCCAGGCCTCCAGGGCAGTCGTCGGTGATTCCATGGACACGCAGGCTCCTTGCCCGGCTCGTCCTCAGCCCGTGGAGCAGTGTGCTTGGCTGTGGGGTGGGCAGGCGAGGGAAACTCCACCAGTGGTTGCAGGGGCCCTGCCTAGAGCTGGCACGCCCCGCCTCCAGGTCACTTGTTGAGGTGCTTCCAGGTGCACAACCCCACACCTCTTTGCTCTTCCCCCTGTGAGGTGAAGCCTGAGTCCGACTGTGTTTCAGGTGAAAAGACAGAGGCAGAGAGGGCCAGCGACGGCCCGCCTCCCTCAGGGGAGCTGGGCCCTGGCTCCCCTCCCTGGCCCGCACCCCTGCCTCCGTCCCGGGGTCCGGGCTGGTGGGCTCTGACCAACCCACACACTTGGTCAGAGCACGAGCTTTTCCGGATGGCTGCAGCTGGCTGTCTCCTTTATCTGGGGACACCGTGTTTCCAAGCCGACGAGCAAGCTGGATGCCAATAAACAAGCCCGATTTCCGCCTGGGCTTCTGTTGCTCCCCGGGGACGTGGGGTTCCTGCCGCTGCCGCCTCTCCCAGCCCCAGAGCCCCAGTGGGCGTGAGCGTGCGTCCCCACCACCACCTCCTCTGTCACCAGCAGCGGGTCAGGCAGAGGGCAGGCTAAACACAGACACGTCCGTTCACGGAGGGAGCCTGCTGGGGTCCCCACGGACGCCCGCGGCCCCCAGTGGGGAGTTTGGGGGAGAACGGAGAGCTGCACCTGCCAGGTGGTCAAGCCCCCCCACCCGCCCCCCAGAGGCAGGGTTTCTGAGACTGCCCCGTCTCCACGCTCCCCAGATATCGTACTTCTTCACAATGAAGGTCATCTACACCGTAGGACACGGCGTCTCGAGTGCGTCCCTCGTGGTGGCCATCGCCATCCTGGTCACTCTCAGGTTCGCCCTCCGCGTCGCCGGCCCAGGAGCCTCCGCTCTCTCGCCGTTCGTTGCGCGCGGCACCGAGCCCGGCTCCTCGCCCGGGGATCCCAGAGGTTCCCAGGTCCAGGCGCCGCGGCCCTGTCGCCCTGTCGCCCTGTCGGAGCTGCCCCTTGCTCTTCCCCGCGGGGGGACCCCTCCTGGGCCTCACTCCCACCCCCAAGCCTGCGCTCGCGTGCAGCTTGGAATGCTGACCTCCTTTCTCCTCTGTGTGTTCAAAGCCCACCCCGCTACCCTCTTCTCAGAACCCCCTCTGCCTCCTCCCACTGTGCCCCCCGTTCCTCGCCCCTCCCCGCCCCCGCAGGAGGCTCCACTGCCCCCGGAACTACATCCACGTCCAGCTGTTCGCCACCTTCATCCTCAAGGCGGGAGCTGTGTTCCTGATGGACGCCGCCCTCTTCCACGGCGAGAACGTGGACCACTGCGGCTTGTCCACTGTAACAGCCAGGGCTGGGGGCGCCGGGGTGTGGGGGTGGCGGGGCGGGGCGGGAGGCTGGGTCAGAGACCTGGACGCGTCTGCCAGAGCCTGCCCAGCCCTGTTAGTGAACCTGGGCTCCGGCATTGCCAGTTCCAGGACGGGACGTTGCCCCCTGCTCTCCTGCCCCTCTCCGGGGTCAGGCCGTTTGCTGGCCCCTGGTGCCAATCAGGGCGTCCCCCCTATTCCACTTGGCACTCCTTACCCGCACTCCCCCCGCCCCCTGTTCTAGCCTAGACCACAGTCACCCCTTGGGGACGAAAGGCCTCCTGTAGGGTCAAGGCAGAACCGGGTGAAGGGAGCCGGGTGCTGGGAGGGAACAAGGGAGGACTTCCTGGAAGAGGCAGCTTGGGGGCTGGGTGGGCAGCAGTGATGGGGGACAGGAGGGAGGACAGTGAAATGGAGGGGCCAGGGTGAACGGACTCACACACAGAGAACCTGGGGCGTGTGCCAGGGAGACGGAAGTCCTCGTGGGGGAGGGGAGAAGGGAGGGGGCGAGGAGCCGGAAAGTGAAAGAAGCCGGCGGAGCGCGGAGGCCCCGCCCTCAGAAGGCGCTCTAAAACGGCGCTGGAGGTGAGCAGATGCGCAGATGCGCAAACCAGCCAGTGACCTGAATTAATTAATTAATGAACAATGACAAGGAGAAGGTCTATCGAGCCCTTAGGTGCCAGGCGCTACGCTAACCGCCTTGCATATGCGACGTCATCACCTTTTCTTTCCTGCATATGTTTCCGTCTTGGTCCCGCTGGTAGACGAGGGACACGTGGCAATGTCCCGCGGCTGCTTAGTGGTGGGGCTGGGGCCCCGCCAGGCCGGCTGAGCCCAGAGCTGGGGCTGCTCACCCCGACAGATGAGTGAAGGAAGGGGGGTGCGTGTTTGTGGGCGGAGCCGAGCGTGAGTAGCTGGCGCTCCCTGTCCCCAGCTCCGGGGGCTGGCGCGAGCTCGGGAAGCGTGGGGTGAGGGCGGAGAGGGCGGCCACCGCACACAGAGTGTCCACTCGGTCCTCACGGTGAGGGCGTGGCTAGGTGCAGAAAGCTTTCCTCGTACAGACGAGAAGCTCGGGCGTGGGCTTGGGGAGGAGGTGGACCCTCTAACACACGGTGGGTTTGAACCCGGGCCGTCGGTCCCACCACACCTGGGCTCTTCACCACCGCGTCACATCACTGCAGCCAAGGTGGACGGGCCCTGGTGGGGACGTGAGACGTGGGTGGGCTCCGACGGGTGCCCCGGCTCTGAGGCACCCCGTCCCCGGCCCGCAGGTTCTGTGCAAGGTCTCTGTGGTTGCCTCCCATTTTGCCACCATGACCAACTTCAGCTGGCTGTCGGCGGAAGCCGTCTACCTGACCTGCCTCTTGGCCTCCACGTCGCCTGGCACCAGGACGGCCTTCCGACGGCTGGTCCTCGCCGCCTGGGGTGAGTCCCGAGGGCAGGACCGGGCATGCCCCGGGTGGCCCCCTCTGCTCAGTGAGGGGAGGTGTCGTCGGTGGCCCTGCAGTGAGGGCCGGAGGAGGGGCCTGTGGGCTGTCGCCTGGTCCTGCCTTCGCCGTGCCCCGTGTGGTGGGCAGGGGCGGCGGGAGGTGGGGGCAGGTCTCCGAGCCAAGGATGTCGACCCCTCCCCTGGGTCCCCTCTGCGCCCCACAGGGATCCCCCTGCTCTTCACTGGCTCATGGGTGGGTTGCAAGTTGGCCTTCGAGGATGTTGGGTGAGTCTGGGTGACATCCTCATCACCCTGTCCTGAGGCCCCAGGGCTGTCCTGACTGTGGGCGGCACAGTCAGGCGGCGTGGCCCTCCTCCACGCTGGGAGAGGAGGAGAAGCCCCAGTCCTGCCATCAGGAGCTCCCGGGCTGGGGCCAGGGTGGCAGATGGGGAGGCAGTCCGTGGACAGCGCACACCAGAGTCTGGGTGGGAAGGGGCCTTGGATTCTTAGGACTTCGGGGCTCCGGGAGAGGTGGGGATGGGGGTGGGGTGAGGATGGGGCGTGGCGGGTGTAAGTGGGGGCCTCCTGGAACCCAGCAAGAAGGAAGCGAGTAGGCTGATTTTCCAGAAGTTGATCCATCCAGGTGGAGGGAAGGATGAGCCCACAGTGGATTGGACGCCCTTCTAAAAGGGGCCCGACTCTCTGAGAGACAAGATAGGCTGCCTGGCAGGTGGGGGAGGCTGGGAGGCTCGGGTGCCAGGGACAGGAGCCAGGACCCCGGTGGGCAGACAGCAGGGAGGAGGGAGGTGCACAGGGTTCCCATGGAAAGGGGCCCCAGCCTCAGCCCTGGCCCGTCCTCCCCTCAGGTGCTGGGACCTGGACAGCAGCTCCCCCTACTGGTGGATCATCAAAGGGCCCATCGTCCTGTCTGTTGGGGTCAGCCCCTGGGGCCCGTGTCCTCTGCTTTATTCAGCCAACCTCCCTGGGTCCACCAAGGGGCTGTGCATAGTAGGAAACGCGGCTCCAGGCTGTGAGGCCCTCTCTGGACCTCAGCCCGTGGGTAAAACCGGGGCGTGGTCTCGTTTGGGGCTCAGGCCCCTTCCAGCTCAGAGTCCGGACCCACCTGGTCGCAGCTTGGCCACCACTGCAGTGAGAGGCTGGGCAGGCGAGGGAGGGGCGGGCGGTGCTGCTGCCGCCAGAGCCCACCGCCTGCTCCCACCAGCACACAGGGTGGTCGGGGGTGGTTTGCACGGCCTTGGTGGATGTGCCCATGTCCCCCGTTTAGCAGCTGTGCCAAGGGAAGGCCACCTGCTCCATGCCAGAGAAGCCACGTAGGACCCCCCGGTCTCCAGCCTACACGTTCCAGGGCAATGGCCTGGGCATCCATCCCCTGCACAGCCCTGTGTCTCAAAGACTCGGGGTTTCTAGTTCCAAAGGGACCCCATGTCAGGCCTCCAGGGCCACCCCCTGACTTCTCGCCTTCCCCCTTCCTGCACCTCTATTTCCAGGTGAACTTTGGGCTTTTCCTCAACATTATCCGCATCCTGCTGAGGAAGCTGGGGCCAGCTCAGGGTGGCCTCCACGCCCAGTCTCAGTACTGGTAACGTGCACGCACGTTTGGGGGGGGTTCTGGGATGCACCTGGAAGGAGTCAGTGTGGTTCTGTTTTATTCACGTCCGGGCCTTCCCGGTCCCGCCCAAGCTCCTCCCCGTGTTCCCAGGGACAGAATAGCTCTGGTCCCTGCCTTCCCGGAGACCGTGGGATGGGAAGGACGGAGGCTCCAAACACCTGGGTTCTGGGCCAAATAGGCTGGTGGGTGCTGGGCTCAATTTCTGTGAGAGCCTGCGGAAGGCGGTCCTTTCTAGATGGGGAGCGGGGATGGGGTGTGGTCAGGGAAGACTTACTGGAGGAAGACTTTGAACTAGACCTTGAAAGATGCATAGACTTGGACTGGAGTAAACTGAGACAGCAGCGTTTTGCCCAGAGATGAGCAGGATCCAGGGGCCCGAAGTCAGGAAGCCCCGGGCGTGTGTGGGGAGGACGGAGGCCCCCCCCCCGGGGTGAAGAGCTGACCCGCAGAGCAGGTGGGAAGTGAGAGTAGGCAGGGGGCAGGCGGGCATTGGGAATTCTAGGCGTGGGAGCCTGAAGCTCCTCCCGTCCTGCAGGCGTCTCTCCAAGTCGACGCTCCTCCTCATCCCGCTGTTCGGAGTTCACTACATCATCTTCAACTTCCTGCCCGACAGTGCTGGCCTGGGCATCCGCCTCCCGCTGGAGCTGGGGCTGGGCTCCTTTCAGGTGAGGGCCCCCCGCCCCCAGGCACTGCTGCCCTCTGAGGCCTGGGGCCGGAGGAAGGGGCTGCTGCCCACCGGCTTGATGGGCTTCACGTCAGGGTGAGGGCCGCTAGGCTGGTCATTCTGCCTTCTAGTCGCTCGTCTATTCATTCAACTATGTGTCCATTTTCCATCCGTCCATCTCCCTGCTCGTTCAGCTACCCTGTACCTGTGTACTCATCCACCTCCCTATCTGTCCGCACACCCACCTTTCTGTGCACCTACCCCTCTCTCCATCCGTCCATCCACCTACCCCTCCCTCCATCCACCCATCCACCTTTCTGTGCACCTACCCTCCATCCATCTATCCATCCACCTTTCTATGCATGCATGCATCCATCCATCCATGCATCCATCCACCTTTCCATCCATCTTTCTATGCACCTGCCCATCCATCCATCCGTCCATCCACCTTTCTGTGCACCTACCCTCCATCCATGCATCCATCCACATTTCCATCCACCTTTCTATCCACCTACCCCTCCCTCCATCCACCCATCCACCTTTCTGTGCACCTACCCTCCATCCACCTTTCTATCCACCTACCCCTCCCTCCCTCCATCCATCCATCTTTCTGTGCATCTACCCCTCCATCCATCTGTCCATCTACCTTTCTGTGCACCTACCCCTCCATCCATGCATCCATCTGATCTGTTCAGCAGTTACTCAGCACCCATCACATGCCGGGCTCTGTGCACAGTACTGAGGGATGCACAGATTAAGAAAACTGGAGAAATAGGTCCAGCAGTACAGACTTGGCCAGCTTGCTATGACGATTCCATGAGTCAATGGCCTGGCACATAGTAAGTGATGTGTCTACCATCTCTTTTGCTCAAAGCCACAGCCCAGAGGGTGGGCGGGGGAAAAGGTAGTAGAAAGACCACAAACACCTTGAGAACAGGCCAAGGTATCCTGATGGGGTCCTTTCTCTTCGGCTTCACAGGGCTTCATTGTTGCCGTCCTGTACTGCTTCCTCAACCAAGAGGTATGTGGCTCTCTGGGCCGTCCTTGCCCACCGAGCCGAACCTCCCACTAGTGCCCAAGGCCCCTTGCCTCCTGCTCAGACCCTGTAAACCCCAGCTCAGCTCAAACCTTGACTCCTGCGACCCTTCATAGGAGTCTGTCCTGAGCTTCTGGATCAAGCTGAACCTGAATGTCTTCTGTAAACATCTTTTACCCATCCTTCCTCTGGGCTGAGCCAAGATTACTCTCCATTCAGCAAGGGGGTGGAGAAGGCCTTTGAATCTCAGAAGGCAGATCGGGGTGGGCTCTGTGTTCCTAAAACGGAGCAAAAGGGAGAGTGGGGGAGGGAATAAGCCAGCTCCAGGAGTGAGTGAGCAGGAGAGAGAGAGAGAAAGACAGAGAGAGAGCCTGGAAGAGGCAGACACGCCGAAAGAACAGCCGGGCAGAGGAGGACATACACAGAACAGATGGACGAGATGGTGTCGATGTGCTTAAACATGGACAGCTTGCATGCAGAGAGGAGCTAATTCGAGCATCCCAACCAGAAGACACCTGGCATTATTTTTCTTAGGACAGGTTTACTTTGTGGGGAGAGGTAGGAGAATGGAACTCAGTGCCCCAGACAGCTGGGCCCTGGGCTGTGGGCGCAAACAGAGCCATGGGCGCCCTCTAGTGGCCACGAGATTGCTGCGGGCCCTGTGTTCTGGGGGAGACCTGGGTGCGTGACTGTCCCCCAGCTGTGGGGCGCTGCTCTCCCCTCCCCTGCCGCCTCTGTGTCCGACCGGCTCCCTCTCCTCTGACCCTCTCTGCCCCCACCGCAGACTCTGGACTGCAGTGTCTGAGTGCAGTGGCTGCCGGGCCCTGGGGGTGCAGGGGAGTCAAGGAACAGCCTTGGCTGAGGCAGGTGGGGCCCGGGAAAGGGGATCCCACCTAGTTGTACAGGACTCTGTACCGGGAAGCAGTGTCAGGGACCAGAGCGTTGTTACATACTTCTGGTGATGGAGAGCTTAGTACCTATGAATAGTTCCTTCTGTTGTCAGACAGCTCACCTTGACGTCGGACAGAAATCTGTGTCTCTTTTGTCCTCCGCCGCAGCCTCCCGCTCCCTCTGCCCCCACAGGCCCTTCCTTGGAGAAGATACGGACGTTTCCCCTGCCCCTCCCAGGCTACTCTTCTTCCCGTTTCCCTCATCTCCGCAACCACCAGTCCCCAGACAGAGCGTGACGCCCTCCCTCCCTTCAGGTCCTGCCCCCTGGACAGGTTCCCCAGGGGCCGCAGGTCAGTGCAGTGGGCAGCGGCCAGCCTGAACCCCAGAGCGGGGACAGTCTAAGCCATTCGGGAGGACAGAGTAGTTATCTGGCCAGAACTTCCAGAAGCACCCATCGCTGTCCTTGTCTGGGTCCAGACACCGACGGTGCTCAGGGGACAGGGACGAGCTAAGTGGCACGGCCAGACACCTGCGGAGGAAGGAGAAAGTAGCGCCGGTCAGAGGCGGGGCTTGGCCGTGGCTGTGGCTGTGGCTGTGGCCGTGGCCTCCCCTGCCCCAGCAGCCCCATCTGGGTTTCTCCTGCACGGCCTCTCCCGCACTTGGCCCCCCTGGGGTTGAGTGAAGGAGAGGCGGCAGGGCTGTTCTAACATCCTCCCCTTGCCCCCACAGGTGAGGGCGGAGATCTCACGGAGATGGCATGGCCATAACCCCGAGCTGCTGCCAGCCCGGAGGGCCCACGCCAGGTGGACAATGCCTTTCCGCTCAGGGACTAAGGTGCCAACGTCTGTGTGCTAGGCTGGCCACCCCGTGCACCTGGAGTCCACACCTGACCTTGGGCAGCCACAGCGGGCCCGCCACGTTCCAGAGGAGAGGGGCCAACCGCCCTGAGAGCCCTCGGTCCGCACCCCCACCCCCGCTGCTGCCCAGCCCTGGGCAGGGCGGCCCTCCTTCCCCTCCGGGACCTGCCTCTTTTCCCTGGGCCCCTGGGTGTCTAATTCTGTCCCCCTGGCTCCTCTGTCTCCGTTCTTCTCATGTGTCCCCGGAGCAGCCAATAAACGGGTAGAGGATAGACGGCCGTGTGCGTGAGTACCTGTGCCGTCCAGTGGGGGCGCTCCACGGCCTGGGACCCGATCTCTGGTGCGCGGGGCGTATGGGTCCTCCGTTCCCATGACATCACCACGGTGTGTCTGTGCCGGGGTGTCCTTGTATAACTGACCTCTGAAACGGATTCTCTTGTTTCCACTCCACTCCAGTCTCCTCCTCCCACAGGCACGCGTTCCAGTGGGAATGTTCATGTCTCTTGTATTCTTGTGAACCGTGCAGCGTTCTGCACCAGGTTTTAAGAGATGCCCCAGGTGCCGGGTGCTCACCTGGTCCCTCGTTTTGACAGCTGTATAGTGCCACGTGGTGTCACCGCCCATGGGACCTGCCCTGTCTCCCCCTCCCTCCTGGGGAAGGCTTACATGCCGGCCCCCTCGTGGACCCGTGAGTAGGAGTGCCCGGCCATCAGCTATGGCTCTTCTTAACGTGACAGCAGTGGCAGATTGGGTGGCAGGGTGGCTGCAGAGTCTGCACGCCCACCAGCAGCCCCGCCAGCATGCGGCTTCCCCAGCTTCTCAGTGTCTGCAAGTCAGATGGGAGCGAGTGGCGCCTCCTGCCTCCTCGGTTGTTTGCATTTGCATTTCTCTGATGACTCGTGAGTGAGCATTGCTCCGGTGCCTGTTAGCCCTTTGGGTTCGTTCTTCTGGGAATGGCTTGGGTTCCTCTGCGTATTTTTCTCTAGGGTGGGGGTTCCTCCATTCTAGGTCTTTCTCTCATGTCCTCTCCATAATGTGCCTCCTTGTCCCCCCAGCCTGAAGGCGTCCCTGATGTAACACAGTGTCACCGTCCATCCCTCCCCTACCCCGTTCCTTGCCCAGGGAGGACGTTGAGACTGGGCACCACCGTCCCCGGTGACGTGTTTGTTGACAGACAGGGTGGATGGAGATTTTGGGACAGAGGACAGGCACACAAGGGGTGCTGCAGGTCGGAGTGACATCTCTCCCTTTCTGGGGGCACCCAAAGCACATCTGTCCCGCAGGCCCAGCCCCGTTCGCTGGCCTCCAGGAAGCCTTCCCTGCGGCCCCTCCTCCTCCGACGGACACACCCTCCCCCCTGTCTGCGGGCCACACGAAAACGGGAGCCACCATATTGGCTGGGCTGCCCCCCTGCCCAATGCCTCCCTGGTCCCACAGACGTCAGGATGCAAACCCTGTCTAGAAGCCCTGTCGTGCGTTCCTGCCTCTGGTCACATCGGGACATGGATTCATACTCATCGCAGGGCATTTGGGAGACGGAGAAGCAGTCTAAAAAATAAAAATAAAAATAAAAATCAGCTGCAACCTCATTCCCCAAAGATAATCACCACTGATATTTTTGTATGTTTTCTGAAAATCTTTGCCTCTGCATTTTGGAAACATCTTGAGATCATATTATGTTTGTACGTTTGTATTTTGTTTCCTATGCTTAAAATGAGCACGCACAACGTGAACATGGCCAAAGAGCCCGTGAAGAGGGGCCGCCATCACCAGTCACTGGGAAAACTCGAATCTGCACCACGACGAGATGTGGTTTCACACCCACCAGGGTGGCTACAGTGAAGAAAATGGACAGAGACAAGTGTTGACGGGGACATAGAGAAATCGGGACTTTCACACATCGCTGGTGGGAGTTTCCGATGGTGCAGTTGCCTTGGCAAAAAGTCCGGTAGTTCCTCAAACAGCCCGACCCTGAGTGGCCACGTGACCTGGCAGATCCACTCCCAGGCTCGCAGGCGAGAGAGTTGGAAACGCGTGTGTGCACAGGCACTGCACATGGATGTTCACAGCGGTGCTCCTCCTAATCGCCGATGTCCACCCATCGGCGCATGGATAAACAAAACAAGATGGAGCCATACAATCGAACAGTATTCTCTAATAAAAGAGAAGGAAATACGGATACACCACAGACGCACCCCGAAAGCACTGTGCTGAGTGAGAGAAGCTGGTCACAAGGGCCGTATGTTGTGTGGTTCCTGTTGCGTGGAAGGCCCGGAACTGGCAAATCTGTGGAGAGAGACAGTATGTGGACGTTTCCAGGGGCTGGGGCGGGGGGGGGAACAGGACTGACTGCCGGTGGGGACGGGGTTCCTTTCACGGGGGATGAGGCGCTCTAACATTGAGTCGCGTGCTGGCTGCACACTCTGCGAATGTACCAGAACCCACCGAGTTGCCCACCTTCCACGGGGAGGTCTGTGGCGTGTGGATTACACGCCAGGGAAATCGCTGCTGGGGAGAGTAAGCTGGTGCGGAGCCCTCGCAAACCCCTGGTTCCGCTGCACAGTTTGTGAGTCCGTGTAACAACACTCCTCACCCAGCCGGTGACTGTTCACCCAGTCCGTCGGTGGACTGGACAGGCTCCCAAGTTTTAGATGAATAGTGGCGTAACCTTTCCTGCGTACGATTCTTCGTGTACGTTTCAAACAGTTAAAAACTTCAGAATAAACTCTTAGCCTAGAAATTCTGAGCCATTGGCATGCATATAGTAAGTCTTTTAATTCCTGTTGGCGAATTCCTGTTGGGCAGTTAGTGGTCAGTGTTAGCAGTCAGCAGGGCTGAGTGTCAGTGGGCAGTTAGCAGTGGTGTTAGCCGTCAGCAGGGGTGAGTGGCAGTGGGCAGTTAGTGGTCAGTGTTAGCAGTCACAGGGGTGAGTGGCAGTGGGCAGTTAGTGGTCAGTGTTAGCAGTCAGCAGGGGTGAGTGGCAGTGGGCAGTCGGCAGTGGTGCCAGAAGTGAGTTCACGGTGGTGGCAGCAGTGGGAGTCCCCTGTGTGACCTGTCCGCCCCTTCCCTAGCGGCGTCATCTACGGCTGGGAGCCGGCTTCTTTCTTCCTTCCAATTCGCCTGGAGCCTCACATCCCTGCACTTCTCTGGTTTCTTCTGCCGCGGGGATCCCAGGACTGAGGCTACAGGGAGGGTCCCTGGGCTGACCCCTGGCTGGCAAACCCCACCCTCCTCAGGCATCAGCACCGCCATCTGCAGCAGCATGGAGTCAGTCGCCAGGTGACTTCAGAGACCTCTAGCTGGGACGTTAGTTTGCAGGCCACGGGGAGCTGAGATGAGCAATACTCAACGTCGCCACCAGGTGGCAGAGTAACTGCAGCCAAGGACCCCGGCAGGGCGTACTGCTCCCTGGATGAGGCCCCAGCACCACAGCCAGAGGCAAGGCTACCAGAGCGGGGCCTGGGTCACAGTGGGCCAGGACAGGGGGGCCGGAAGCTCCTGGAAGAGAAGAGAAATGGGACACCCAGACCCCAGTCTTGGGGAGGAAGAGGCTGATAAGAAGAACGAGAGCTGAAGAGACAGGAGACCTGGGGCCCATGGGAGTCCCTGGGCAGGGTTCAGAGCAGAAGCAGGCCCCCCCACCCCCCACCCCTCTGAACCTGGCCCCTGGTTTTTATGGGGAAGGCAGGATTTCCCATCATCCACTGCAGCACCTCCCCGCCAGCCTCACTCAGGTCCTGAAAGGAATTCACTAAAGGGAAAGAAGAGACTTCCCTCCTGTTGTGGCCAGCCTGTGTGTGTTCCTCTACATGGTGGGGAGGAGGAGACAAGACTAACAGTGAGGGGCCCATTTCCCATCCCTGGAGAGCCCCGAGAAACGTTCGGGAGGTCCCCAGGGAGGAGCCGCAATCTGGATGTGCATAGAACAGGTGTGTGGGGCTCTGACTGCCTGGGTAGTGGAAGCTCAAAGGACAGGGTGTGGGTGAGGCCACGAGCAGTCAGGGAAGGCTTCCTGGAGGAGGGGACGCAGGCTGGTTATATAGACCCCCTAGAACCTCACCAGGCCAAGCATTAGCACCTGCTGGCCAGGCAGAGACAGTGTGGCTGACCTCAGCTTGAGGAGCAAGACTCTTAGGAAGGAGAGGACAGGACAGGACGGTGAGTCTAGCGTCCGGCCACTGCCCTCCCCCAGGATGTCCGTGGGCGTTCCTGTGAGGGCTCTGGGCCCTACTGGGCCACGCGTCCTTTCACTTGGTAAGTGTCTGCTAAGTAGGTGCTAGAGCCTGGAAGCACAGCTGCCACCTGCTCCGAAGGTTCCTCCTCGAGAGGCTCAGGGCGTGGGAGAGAGCGGCAGGAGGCGGTCAGCGCCAGGTGGGACTGAGGTTCTGGCTAGCACAGCAGTGAAAGAGTTTGGCTTTTCCGGCCCCCACGTGGCGTGTCTGGTGTTCCGTCCTCACTGTCCGTCCTGGGGTGAACAGCTGTGTGTCTGTGACCCAAGCAGTAGACGGGGCAATTTGTCTCAGCGGTGTCCTGGCGTGGGGCAGGCGCTCCTCCTGGCTGTGCTCCTCCTGGCTGCGCTCCCAGGGACAGGTGAGCTCCCTCAGGTCCCTGAGTGCATTGTGCTTCTGCTGAACCCAGCAGGCAGGGGCCAGCGGTCAGCCCCCGGGGCCTGACTCACACCCTCCCCTCGGCTGGCCTGTCTGTGGGTGGAAGCGGGGGTTCTTGACAAGGACGAAGAGGGTGGGAAGTGGTCGTGGGACCACCAGGAACTGGTGGCCTTCAGAGGTCGGGCCAGGCTCTGGAAGCCAGCAAAAGGCCACCACCGTGGAGGTTTGGGCCTTTTTTTTTTTGGCAGTCTGTTCTCTCCCGCGTGAGTCTGTGTGCAGGCATTTCTCTCCTGCCGCCCTCCCTGTTCTGCGTCTCTCCCTGTTGTTCCTCTCTCTTTCTCTCTCTCTCTCAGTATCTCTGTCTCTGTGTCTCTCCGTTTCTCTCTCTCTC